TATATTTGTCAGGCTTCTTTTGGATACCATTGTCAGGCACTCATTTAAAAGAATCAATTCTTCCCCTCTCTGTAAGTGGCAGCTCCATCTTTGTTTTTGCCCTAGACTGAGCAAAATTATCCTTGATTCTTTTTCTTTCACTTTCTCCACACAGTCCTTTGGCATATTCTGTTTGCTTCAAAAAATATCCCAGATCTGACTTGCTTTCACCACCTCTACTTCCATTATCCTGGCTCAGCAACATCCTCTTTCTCCTCCTATATAACTCCTAGCAAGTCTCTCTGTTACTAATGTTGCTCTCAAAAAGCCTGTGTCATCCTTTTGAGACATAAGAGATCATGTCACTTCTTTGCTCAGAATTTTTCAGTGGTTTCCCTTGTAACTCAGAGTAAAAGCTCAAGTCCTTACAATGAGCTAACGTTTTGTGGTCTTTCTCTCTCTTCTTCATGCAGGATCTTTCTCTGAACTCAGATTTTGTTATTTTCTCCACTATTCACCACACACAGGACTTCTTGCTCTTCTTTACACAGGCACTTTGTACTTACTGTTCCCTCTGCCTGAAATGTTCTTCCTCTAATAGCTGTATGACTTACTTTCTTATCTCCTTCAGGTCTTTGCTCAGACATCACTTTATCTGTAAGGTTTTTAATCACTCAACATAAATTTGAAATCTCTTACTTTCTCCATACTTTTTATTAACCTTTCCTGCTGTTTTTTAAAAAACCGGAAAAAATACACGTGCGGTGGCTCATGCCTGTAATCCCAGCACTTTGGAAGGCAGAGGTGAGAGGACTGCCTGAGCACAGGGGCTCAAGACCAGCCTGGGCAACTTGGCGAGATCTTGTCTCTACAATAAATACAAAAATATTAACCGGACCTGGTGGTATGAGTCTGTAATTTCACCTGCTTGGAATGCTGAGGTGGAAGGATCTCCTGAGCCCAGCAGGTCAAGGTGGTAGTAGCAGTGGTGAGCATGCCACTGCATTCCTGCCTGAATGACAGAGTGAATCTCCGACTTACAAAAAAAAAAAATGCTTATCACCACTTAATATTGTATATTTATTTATTTTGTATTTTGTTCGTTTTCTTTTTCTGGAACGTAATCTTCATGAAGGCAGGAATTTTTGTCTGTTTTGTTGTATAGGAAAACTCATGGCACATAGATAGTACACTCTCAGAAAATATTTGTAGAATGAATTAATAAATAAGACAAAAATAATGTATTGCCTCATGTAACCATTAAGTCTGTAACTCTGAAGGGACTGACAATACCCTGCATGAAAGCTAACAAATTAATCTACCATAGTTTTGTATACATACATTAGTAGAAAAACCCTGAGTCAGTTTCAGAGGGTTTATACAGCAAAAGTAGTGGCCTGAGAAATAGCTTACGGCTGATTCTCCATGCCCTGTGTAACAGGGTCATGTAATGAGGGTCAGATGTTTACTTTACACATGCAGTAGATTTGCATCACAGGAGAAGATCCTCAAAATTAGGAGACTCTAAGCTTGTGTAGGGTGCTGATTCATCTGTCATCCTCCCCTACAGATGGAGAGAGATTATTCATTAAGCAAATTTCCTCCAGGGGAGAAGAGGAAGGTATCTTTAGGTTTATTACTGGAGAGGGCTTTGTTTTCCAAAGCTCTTTGGAGGTCTCTGTCTTGAGGGAGACACTATCTTTAGCTTTGAAGGCTGTCTGTTTTGCAACTATCCATTTGTAATACATTTTGCTCAGAAGGCTCTTACTTTGCAGGAATGTAAAAAATCCAGTTTCCCAGCAGTAATTCTGAATTCTAGCTGTTACATCTATTTACATGTGAAGTGAGACTTAGGGGCAAAATATTTTCAGAGTTTTCTTCATTTTTCTTTTCATCTCTTATTTCTTTCTCTGGGTTGATGTATTGTCAAGTAGTTACTTATGATCTTTCAGTCTAGCAACTTCAGCTGAAAGAGAACTTTCTTTCCTGATTAGTTGCTACAAAAATGTTGGGATTCAGTCTAATTCTTCCAATTTGGGTCGCATCCCCATTCCTGAACCACTGCTTGGGGGAAGGAATATGCTGGTTTTCTAGATGTGGATCATGTTACTACTCCAGAAATGTTACTGCTAGTGATTAGTGTCACACAAACTATGTGGACTGAAGATAAGAGAAGGATAGTTCAAGAAAAGAAAATTGAGATGCTGCTACCAGAAGAAGATAGATGCTTCAGAATATAAAGAACATGGGTCTATTACTTACATGCACATGCAACTCACAGTCGTTATAAAGAAATAGAATCTTACTGTATTTAGGCATAACTATCCCATCTATTTTTCACCCACTATCACATCACGAACAATAAATTTTCTTTGAAAACATAATTTTATGTGGTTGTAAAATTATATTTAGATTCATTGATTATTTTTTAGATATTTGGTTTATCAGAATTGGATTTCAAAACAGTAAAGAGATATTTATTAGAGAAGCAGGGAGAGTAGAGGTGGAAAAGAGAAGTAGGGTCAGGACTAGGGTGGGGCAAGAGAGGCACAAAATGTGAGATGTACTTACTTTCCAAAGCACAAAATGTGAGATGTACTTACTTTCAGGGTCCTAGGACTGCAGGGTGGCACTTGCATGACCCCGAGAGCTTCTCTTTAAATTTGCTCCCCAGGCCGGGCTCGGTGGCTCAGCCTGTAATCCCAGCACTTTGGGAGGCTGAGATGAGTGGATTGCCTAAACTCGCGAGTTTGAGACCCACCTGGGCAATTTGGCGAGACCTCATTTCTACAATAAATCCAAAAAATTAACCAGACATGGTAGCACGTGCCTGTAGTTCCGGCTACTTGGAAGGCTGAAGCGGAAGGATCGCGGAGCCCAGCAGGTCGAGGCTGTGGTGGCTGGGAGCATGCCACTGTACACCAGTCTGGGCAACAGAGTGAGACTCCAACTCAAAAAAAAAAAAAAATTTTTTTTTTGCTCCCCAGGTATTTCTCTTGTATCACCCTAGTACTATTTGTGAAGAGAAGCATATTGCAGAGAATAGGAACTATTTTTGGCTATGAATGTGAGTTAGAGATGATGGCCTGTATAACTGGGGAGGTTGGTGGGAAAGATTAAGGTGCAGCAGAAAGTAGTCATTATGTATTTTCAACTGTTGTGTACGGAAACTTTTGCTGAGTTCTGGTAAGAATGATTATACCTTAAAGTAACACGAGGAATAGAATTTTTTATTCATAGGTTTATGGTAGTTTGAATAAAGAAAAGTCCCATTTAGAGATACCACCAAATAAGTTGTTATTTTTAACCTAAACCATTTCAGTATCAAGGAAAATGCTGGTTTTTTTTTAAATTGAAAAATAAAAACTATAGAAAAACTGAGTTGGAGATGGAGACATAATACATGGGTGCTTTGACTAGCTTTCTTGAGTAAGACACTTGACATGGCAATATTGGGCATGGTATCCAGTTGAATAGTTGCCTTTGTTGAACTTAGGTCTTTGAAAATTACCATTCCATATCACAGTGAGACACTAGAATGTGGAATTCTAAATTTAAGTCTCAACTGTCTTTGCTGGTAGAGAAGAGAGTCTTAAAAATTTTTAAATCAAATGAATGATCTAGTAATTTTGAGGTCTGTTTTTACAGTAGAATTAGATACATACTTGATGTGCACATTTTAGGTATGCACTCACCTACATTTTGTTCCTCAAAAATGTTTATGTTTCTATACTGTTTTCTTTACCTTGGGAGTTTAATGGAAGATACTGTGTTAAAAGCAGTATAAAGCAAAATAATGATTATACTTTTTATATTTAAATATAATTTTAAGTCATGGATTTTATCATTTAATATAACAACTCTTGTTGAAGCTGTACTTTATACCAAAGCATACAAATCAGAGAAAACTGTAATTCACTTTGGAATTTCATTCACTTGGTAGTTACTTTTGTTTGATAGCTACTGTGTTTCGGGTATTGTGCAAGATGCTGACTATATTAAGGTTAAAAATCCCTGTTCTCAATCATGTCACAATGTAGTGGAAGAAGAAGATATAATAACACTGTAATTATATGTAGATTAGATTTCTAGCAAATTCTGGCATTGGGAACTTTGCCAAATCTAACGGGAAATAAAAGGCCTGTGTGAGTGCAAAGAAGGCACTTTTTGGAAATTGTTGGAAGATTAGAGTGGAAGACTTGGAGAATGTGCCTGACACACTGTGTTTGGTCTGTTTCCTGATCAGAAGGAAAGGGGTAATCTTAATGGTAACATTTGTGGAATGCCATCTGATTCATGTGAAAGTCAAGGAAGTAGGGGAAATGACAGGAAACAGAATGGGCAAACAAAAAAGAAGAGCTTGGAAGAAGGTGAGTGCTGATGATAAACTGGAAGTTGGGATCAGAAATAGAAGGACATGAGACAAAAAATGAGAAACTATAAAGTATATATACTGAATCCAGTGATAAACAGGAGAGCCAGTGACCAAAAATCTTCTTAGAAGATCTCCCAGTTTCAAGGACTGAAGAGAAAACAGCCAATTCAAGGATCCTACTTTGACATACTGAAAAGCATATGAGGCAGAGAAAATATGTTTGTTGGGGGAGTGCTTTCCAAACCTTCCCCAGCCTTTAAAACAGTTTTTAAAAAAATGTATTTAATTACTTCTTTAGGCTGTGATAATATTTTGACAAGTGTAGTCTTTTGCTTCCCTGATGTGTTTCCAACTTGAAATTTTATGATGTAAAAATGGAGAAAGACATACATTACCTTTTCAAAAGTGAGGAAGTAGGTTGAGAGAGAAGGTAAAACACATGACATGTGGAGACATTTGGGGAAAGATAGGGGAGGGAATAAGTAGTGGAAGTATGTTAGGTAAGTGTAGCCTTCTTATTTTTAAATTGGTGAATGTGATAAACCATCACAGTTAATTTCTAATAATAGCCAACTACACTACAGTTGTATATTTTTACCTCTTCTTTGTAGTGAACAGTTCTGACTCCATGAATTTCATTTTGCAGCTCATATGTTTTGGCTAGACCTATGATCATTCCCGTGAGATTTCGCTGCACGTTTTCTCAAGTGTCTTCCATGACCTTAATGTGTAATACCTCAACATGGACCTGCTACTTTAGCTAAGACATGACCAGCAATGAATAGTAGTAAGGTAGGATTACTTTATTCTTCTTAATATATTACTAAAAAAAATTTTTTTTTTTTGGTCTCTGAAACTGTGGCTTGTCTTGATTTTGTAGTTTTTTTTTTTTTTTAAGTTAGGTTATTATCCTACCTATGCAGGCTACTGTCATTTATATTTGTGCTATTTATTTTTTGCTTGTCATTTTTCCTAATAAATTTTATCTCATTTGTGATATGATTATTATTTTTTTCAACTAACACTTATAATCACCAGAATCCCAATCTATATCTCTTTCTCACACTGTGTGCTCACTAGACCTATATTTTCAACAACCTGGCACCAAACTCAACATATTCTGCTTTTCTTCTCAAACACTTGCACTTCTTTCTGGTTTCTGTATTTCTGTTAATAGCATTATTAGTCTTATTGTCTAATATGATCATATATTTATTTACTGTTTCATTCATTCATTGATGTACATTGATATGCCTCTAAGTCTTCACACATTGTACTGCTTCTGAGGATATAATGATGAATAAGCTGGATGTTCCATTCTTCCATCCTTATATTGTGGAGGGGAGGACAGGTTAAAAAAATCAATTAGCTGGGCTCGGTGGCTCAGCCTGTAATCCCAGCACTTTGGGAGGCCGAGGCGAGTGGATTGCCTGAGCCCGCGGGTTCGAGATCCACCTGGGCAAGTTGGCGAGACCTCGTTTCTACAATAAATTAAAAATTAGCTGGGCGTGATAACGCGTGCCTGTAGTTCTGGCTCCTTGGAAGGCTGAGGTGGAAGGATTGTCGGAGCCCAGCAGGTCGAGGCTGCAGTGACGGGGAGCGGCCACTGCACTCCAGTCTGGGCGACAGAGTGAGACTCCAACTCAAAAAAAAAAAAAATCAATTGACAAAATCATTATGAGTTGTAATAAATTTTTTTGAAGAAAAGCAAAAAATCAGATATTTTGGAGAAGAGGCTGTGAGAACTACTTTAGATGCAGTCATGTAAGGCTCCTCTGAGAAATTGACATTTTAGATGAGGCCTATTATATGAGAAGGAACTATTTAAAGAATGAGTAGTGTATATATGTGTGTGTGATTTGTTTTTATGGGGAAAGCTTTCTCATTAGAAGAAATGGTGGGTGCAAAGACCTTGAATGAAGAAAGAGCTTGATGAATTTGAAAGACCGGAAAACAAACAAAAACAAAAAAAAACCCCGGGGGTTGACTTAGTGAAAGAAGTAGAGATGGGTGAAGAGGCTATTGTGGCATTCAGGGCTTTAAAGAGTGTGGCAAGAAGTTTGTATTTTATTCTAAATTATAGCATTTTAGCAGCTGTGTGAGGAATGAACTGGCTAGCACAAAAGTGAAATCTGGCTTTTGGGAGCTGAGGAGAGCTAGGAATGAATAGATTTGGGATGCATTTTTTTGAGTCTGAATTCATGGAATTTGTGGCTCATTTGAGTGTGGAAAGAGAGAATACTAATGGATGACTTCAAGATTATTGATTTTTCAGTGGGTACCTGGTCCACTACCAGGAGGAGGAAGCCCAAATTTTACCTACATATAGCCTACTTATGTAGCAAACCTTAATTGGACCTCACAATTCTAAAATAAAAGGAAAACGATTCTTGGTTTTTGAGCAACTGGTTGGATACTTTTAGAAATCTATCTTTTCCATTATTTAAAGGATTGGTTATTTTACCAAAAGGTAACTAATTATAATGCTAAAAGTAACATTGGACTGGGCATGGTGGCTCACACCTATAATTCAAACACTTTGGGAAGCTGAGGTGGGAGGAACGCTTGAGCCTAGGAGTTAGAGACCGGCCTACACAACATAGCTAGACTTTGTCTCTACAAAAAATCAGAAATATACGAGCCTTGTGGTGCAAGCTTGTAATCCCAGTTATCCAGGAGACTGAAGCAGAATGATTGCCTGAGCCTAGGAAGTCAAGGTTGCAGAAAACCGTGATTATTCAACTGCACTCCGGCCTGGCTGTCAGAGTAAAACTCTGACTCAAAAAAACCAAACCAAACCAAAATATTTGTTTTATTTTTTCCTGAAATGTGATATTGTGTGACTTTCAGTTAATTATGAGTTTAATTTTGTATGACTTTAGAGTCTTTCTGGAAGTGAAAAAATAATTGATTTATACTTTTATACTGAGTTTATGCCTTGCTCTCTTTTAAAAGAGATAATTATTTTAACATTTTCAGTTCGTTTGAAACCCTAGGCTGTTAACACAAAATTCTGTATGTGATTTTATTGTGGATGTTTTCAGGCATCTTACCATTATATGTATATCATACTAAGCTCACTTGAAAACATCTAGCTTTTCTAAACTCCCAGGAGATTAATTTATTTTCTTTTTAGACTTTTGGCTTCATCATAGCATATTTATATTCAGCATCTTAGGATTGATATTTTCGGTGCAAAATGACATTGAATAGATATTAAAATAAATCTCTCTAACTCTGCATTGGTTTTTAAAAATCAATCCATGTTTTATCTTTCTTTTGTCTTTTCTCTGAAGAATTTTTTTTTTTTTTTTTTGAGTTGGAGTCTCACTCTGTCGCCCAGACTGGAGTGCAGTGGCCGCTCCCGGCCACCGCAGCCTCGACCTGCTGGGCTCCAGCGATCCTTCCGCCTCAGCCTTCTGAGTAGCCGGAATTACAGGCGCGTGCTACCACGCCTGGCTGATTTTTTGATTTATTGTAGAGATGAGGTCTCGCCGCCCAGGCGGGTCTCGAACCTGCGGGCTCAGGCAATCCACTCACCTCAGCCTCCCAAAGGCGCAGGATTACAGGCTGAGCCACCGAGCCCGGCTTCTGAAGAATTTTTAAGACATTGTCTCAAACGAGAGCGGTTAATATTTGTTTGTGCTCTATATAAGAGGCATTTGGCTATCTGTTTTTAATTCTTTATTTTATTTTATCCTTACAACTGTCCTATGGGTTCTTTTTGCATATGATTATATTTTGGATTTTAGAGCTGAGAGGTAGTAGAAGAATAATGGGATTTTATAGCTGCTAAGTGCCTTTGAGATTACTCTCCTTCCTTCTTCTTCAGCTGGGACCTAGAAAGGTGACTTGCCCAGAATCATGCAGCAGGTGTTCATGATTGTTGAGACTAGTGCTGCTTTTACTTCTCATGCTGCAGTCAAGCTGGCCTCCTCTCATGCTTTTTATGTTCCTGCTCTTTCAGCATTTTATTTTGAAAATGATCAGTGCCATGGAAAAATGGAAAATATTGGACAATGAACACCCATATTACCTTTCATCTTGATTCACTCTTTTACCATTTTGCCACATATTCTTTCTTTACATATTTATATATTTTTACAACCATTTGAAACTATATTAAATGCATGATGATAATTAAAAATTTTAGTATGCAGATAATAAGGTTATGGATAATTGTCTGCATAATTATAATGTCAGTATCACATATAAAAAAATTAACAGCAATTTTAGAATATATTTGTCGGCCGGGCTCAGTGGCTCAGCCTGTAATCCTGCGCCTTTGGGAGGCTGAGGTGAGTGGATTGCCTGAGCCCGCAGGTTCGAGACCTGCCTGGGCAACTTGGTGAGACCTCATCTCTACAATAAATAAAAAAATTAACCGAGTGTGGTAGTGTGCGCCTGTAGTTCCAGTTACTTGGAAGCCTGAGCGGAAGGATTGCCGGATCCCAGTAGGTCGAGGCTGTGGTGGCCGGGAGCGGCCACTGCACTCCAGTCTGGACGACAGAGTGAGACTCCAACTCAAAAAAAAAAGAAAAAAAAGAATATATTTGTCTTAGTCCTTTTGTGCTGCGACAACAAAATACGTGAGACTGGGTAATTTATAAACAATAGAAATTTATTTCTTATAGTTCTGTAGGCTGGGAAGTCTATCAAGACACCATCAGATTTGGTGTCTGATGAAGGCCTGTTCCTCATAGATAGTGCCTTTTAGGTGTTCCCGTGTGGCATCAGGGATGGGAGGGGGAAAGTAGCTCTCTGAAATCTCTTTTATAGGGCCTTAATCCTATCCATGAGTGCAGAGCCTTCATGGCCTACTCAGCTCCTGAAGGCCCCACCTCTTAAGACAATCACTTCAGGGTTAAGTTTCACCATATGGATTTTGGAAGGACACATACATTCAAACACTGAATATGGACTATTACAATTAATACGCATTCAGATCTTCCTGGTTATCCCTAAAAAATTTTTTTTGAGTTGTTTTGAGCCAGGATTCAATCAGATTTCATGCATTTTATTTGGTTCTTATTCCTCTTTATTTAGAAAAATTTTTTTGAATACTCCTCTGCTTTTTTTAAAAAATGACCTGTTTTTTCTTTTAAGAGTTATACTTTGTGTATATAATGTCTCTTTTGGGAATTGCCTGGTTTCTTAGAATATTATTCATTCAAAACTTGCTTGCAATTTGCTTTTTTCTTCCATTTATCTGAGGTTGCTGGAGATAAAGTTGTCATTTCCAAGCTCATTTTTTTTCCAAAACATAATTCCAATTTTAAATATACAGTACATTGGCTGAGGTTTTTGCATTTGGTTGCATTAACTTAAAGATAAGAGAACTAGAGGATTTGCGTTGTATTTGGTCCACACTGTATTTGGCATTAGTCAGCAATTGAAATTCAAGGAGTTCCTCCCCCATTCTCCATTGCCTGTCCCCATCTTCTAATCAGTTAATTCTGTCTTGGAATATATATATATATATATATCTAGTAGCTGTGGACATTATAAAGCAGTAATAGCCTTTGAAAAATGCACAGTTTCAAGTGGAAAACATTAAAATGCAAACGATATATAAGTGATTTACGTCAGACAATCAGAGCTTGGCACAACAAGAAGAGATTGAAGTATCTTCTCTCTGGTACTTGTGTAGAACTGTCACTCAGTGAATCTTCTCTTTCTTCCTTACTCGCTTTTGAGTTTCATAGATTTGGTAGATTCTCTTTAAGAATTGTATGATATTTAGGGACTAGTATTTTTTTTTTTTTTTTGAGTTGGAGTCTCACTCTGTTGTC